TATATATATATATATATATATCCCGATTGTCACTTCATTTCACATCACTGTCTACAGAATATAGAGCACTGGTGATGAACCTACCTACATCATTACGCGGTGAACAACCCCAGAGGTATAGTATTCGCATACATATGCACATGTGCCCGTCCAAGGATTGTAATTCACTGTTGAACGTCGTTTACGTATTGGACATTTTGTCTACAATACCCCTTGTCACACCAACAGGACACTGATGATATGAATATCTCATCAAACGGTTGCGAAGGCCCATAGTGGTGTTGCCTCGCTCTTTCTATCACTTGCCAATCTAAAACGTTTATCTTATATAACGCCATACCCTTCATCTACACACCCATTGCTCATTCTAACATATACACACCCACCCCCTCAACCCCAGGACACTGATGATACGCGCATCCGCTATATATCACTGCGAAGGCTCCCGGACGTACAACCCAGCTACGCGTTAAAACGTTGTCTGTACGCCATGAAACGCGGACGGGTTGTGCGCATAGGACGGTTCACAGTACGTACGCTAACCACACTTGATCTGATTGTGGAGAGTGCCGTTTTCAGACTCAACCATGACTATGTGTTCCGTAACACGCCTATGAAGCGCCGGACGTCGAATACCTACAGCCATATAGAGGTACGTGTGTACTGTGGGGTAGGGTGTAGCGGTGTAGTATGTGTGTATGGGTGTGTGTTAGTTGCTCTGTGGATTTGTGTGTGTCAGTTGCTGTGTGCATGCATGTGTCAGTTGATGTGTGCGTGGGTGTGTGTATGTGCATCTGAGAGGTTGTTGCGCACTCTGGGGTGTCGAATGCTGTTTCCGTTTACAGACGTAACCATGGCTTCGTGTTTTATAATTGGCTGAAGAAAAGATGGGCATCGAAACATTAAACCATACAGAAATACGCGTTTGCTATGTGCGGTATACACATGTACATTTTCACACACACACACACACACGCACATATATATATATATATATGTATATATATATATATATATATATGTATTGGGGCGTAGGGTTTTAGTATATGTGTATTGCTGAGTTAGTCAGCATTCCTATACACACACATGCTATATATATATATAATATATATATATATATATATATATATATATATATATAGGCTTTGTATACACGCGATATCAAATCGAAGTACCCTGTGTACACACCCACTGAAGGTCCTGTTCTCCTTGGATAGCTTCCTCAGCCTTACCCATCACACACTGCCTTCCAGTAGTAGTGCACATGCGCAGTGGTGTGGTTGTGCACATCACATACCTACACACATACCTACCCACCCACCCACACAGTACAATGACCTAGCTCTGGAGGACTATATGCCCACAGTCACCGGCTCTCCTGTACCGCATCATCTGGGTGCTCGTGATGTGGACGAGTATTTGGACCGGTCCCGTCACAAAGTGGTGCATATTGTCAAACAGGCAGGCTGTCTACTGGGCTTCTCAATTGCGGAGTAAGTATGATATGTGATGGTTACACATTTAGTTAGTGTTGTTGCTGAGTAAATATTTTAGTCCCATATTTTTTACTTG